ATCTACGAACAAATTGGTTTTCCTCCTTTGTCCATTGTATAACATTAAGCTCTCTTTAATCAAAACAGCATAGTTATCTATAACCCCCCAAATTTCCTCAACTCCTTCTTTGTTTTAGGCCAGTGTTTCTCAACCTTGACAATTTTAAGGCATGTGGACTTCAACTCCCAGAATTCCGCAGCCAGCATTGCTGGCTGTGGAATTCTGGGAGTTGAAGTCCACATGCCTTAAAATTGTCAAGGTTGAGAAACACTGTTTTAGGCAAGGATTGAGATACAATTTCTTCAGTTCTCTTAGGTATTATGGTCTATTTCTTTCATTAATCAACAAATCAGTGTGTCCTGCACACAAACATAAAGGATTGAGTTACAATTCCTTCAATTCTCTTAGGTATTATTTGTCTATTTCTTTCATTAATCAACAAATCAGTGTGTCCTGCACACAAACATAAAGGATTGAGTTACAATTCCTTCAGTTCTCTTAGGTATTATTGTCTATTTCTTTCATTTATCAATCAGTGTGTCCTGCACATAAACATAAAAAATAAAATAAATCAAAAAGCAACTTCACAAAGAAAGAAACAAACTTAATGAAGTGTTCTGAATGAATGCACTAAAAATATATGTGGGCATGCAAGTAAGCCACTAGCCAGTGATGGCGAACGTTTTAGAGTTTAGTGCCCAAACTGCAACCCAAAACCCACTTATGCATCGTCGGTGCCAGATGGGTGTGGCCCATTGGGGGGCGTGGCTGCAGTGATAACAGCAGACTGGGTGAGACTAAAAAGTTCAATCAATCAATTCCAAGATCTTTTTTTTCCCACGAGAAGTTGAAATTGACTGACTGAACCTTTTTTTTTTTACATGGTGGTGGAGGTCTAAAGTGAAAACCCAGCTGAAGTCCTAGGACTGGGACAATGGTTTGTGTGCCCACAGAGAGGGCTCTGAGTGCCGCCTCTGGCACCCATGCCATAGGTTCGCCACCACTGCACTAGGCTATTGCAAAGGCTGAAACCATGCATCAGACTTTTAAAAACATTTACAAATCTAAGCAAAACAATTCAGAGTCATTTCTTTTGGTTGATGGATATATATATATATATATAGGGTCAACTAAACATTTTAAACTTCATTTCCAGTGTATTCCAATGTCAAGTTTTTCTCATGTCTCGTTTATTTACAAGTAACATTATTTCTTGCTCAACTAAAACTTTCTTTGTTTAGCAGTACAATGATCTCTACTGCCTCCCCTTTCCGAGTAAAAAAATTGCAAGTCAAGGCTGCAAAAAGTAGGTGTTAGATTTTACATCACTTCGCCTTCTTTCGCTCAGGCCAGAGCTCAGCAGAAAGTAAGCAGGAAAAACATGGTTAAAAGGATCAGAAAAACCGCACCCCTCCTCCTTTTCTGCCTCTCTCGCTTTTCCAAAGCAGAAATAGAGAAAAAAACATAACACTTGGCAACGGAGAAGGCAGAAACAAAATTCAAAAAAACTATACAAAAATCTCACCCCCTTTTTCCATTCAGCATTCTTTCAACAGAATAGTTTTCTCTCTTCACATGCTTTTTTCAATGAATAAAAAAAATCTGCAACTTAGTGTTTCTTTCACAGTCTGGGGTGAGCTGGGGGAGCTAACATATAAACATAGGCATTTACACATCAGGATATCCACACATTTATCTTCCATTCAAACTGCTTGCATAAACAATTTCACATACAGATATTTCATTTTATGCTTTCTCCAGGCAAACCAATCATTTTATTATTATTTCAGGGAGCTTTTCACAATGCAATGAGCTCCATTTTCCAAATTAGCCTTTTTGAATAACCTCTTGTGTATTGTTATTAGAGGGCCTCATCCTCCCTCCAGGTCTTGGAAATGATACAAAACATACATACATACCATCAAAATAACATTTCCAGACCTGTGGAGTTTCTTTTTCTTTCCTTGGGCAACTTGTGGCTTGTTAAAGAAGTGGGAAAACTCAAGGAGTGATTCCAATCAAAAATGTGATTGTGGGCCATTTTCCCATCACTTCAAGCCCAAGCTTAGAAGCCCACTTTGTTCTAATCTCCCACAAAGGTCATTTTTAAGAAACACATCAATTTGGGGTTTGAGGCCAATGCTGGCCTCCCTTTTTAACTTATTTTATCAGGGGAACATTTGATGGTTGGTCCCAATTTTCCCAGCAGGTCCCACCCCATTAAATTCAAAGGACACTGGAGAAGGATCAAAAAGGAATGTTGAATTTTGGGTCCTTTGCCGGCCTGAACGGGGAGGGGAAAACTGTCTCCTCTCTTCCTGTCCGACAGTAGGGGTGGTTTCTGATAACAGACAGGGAATTTCAGTATTAGTAAGGTCATTGTAGATAATGCTAATGTCTAACAGAAAGGAATTGAATGTCCATCTGAAGAGCCAAATTGGAGGGGGGAAAGCCTGCATACAGCTTTTCTTCAATTTTTTTCCATTTCTTCCATGGCTAAAACTGTTAAAACATAAGCTAGCCAAATGAAGATGCACAGAGTTTTCAACTTTGCTTTCTTGAAGGTTATTTTTACTGCCACAATCAGTTTCAGTGCATTCCAATGGGCTAACATGCAGCCTACTGGAAACACGACTCCTCCTCTTTCCTAAACACGAGTTCATTTGTTCTGCTCAGTACAAACTACTATTTCTGTTCCTATGATTCCCAAGAGATTTCTTGGACCAGTCTCCATGCGGTTCGGGGCTGGCCAAGCCCTCTCTTATGCAGGAATATTCACAGGGGTTTTTTCAACAGTCTCCCAGTTCTATTGCTCTGCAGGCAGCTTCCTACTGGAAATTTCCTGTATTCCAGGCAAACACACACACACACACTCACTCTCCCCAACCTTTTCCTCAGTTCCAGAATGTTTGTTTCTACTTACCAAATTCCTCCTATATTCTCGTCTCTTCCTACCTCACTGGGACAAGATGAGATGGAAGCCTCTTTAAATATTCAGGTTCAGATGACCACAGGTCTGCCGGCTGCTGGTTGGTTTGAGGTCACCAGACACAAAGAGTCTGAGAGCATTCTTGACTTCGTAGCCGATCTGCACTGGTTTTCCTGAACATCATACCTGAAGGTTGGTGAGCCACAAAAGGATTCGATTGGGGGACCACCTTGAAGGAACAGAGCCTTCAAATCCCTGTTCAGACATCAAAAATATGTAAGGTTATTTCAAGTGTCCTCTGGCATAAAGAAATCTGAGACTGTATATAATCCAATCAAGAAACTCAGATATTGAAATATTTTTACACATATACCTTTGATTCACCAGAGGGGCTTTAAAGGTGATAGGACCCTCCACACAGAGACTGAGTTTAAGGAGAGGATCCCAGCAGAGCCCCACACAACATGAGTGTTGGCAGCAGGAACTCCCAATCAGCCTCAGTGAGGGCAGGGGTGGGGCCAGGGTGGAGAGGCCCCATGAGTTTCTGAGTGAGGGGAATTCTGGGGATTAAAATCCAAGTGGCTGAGTCTGAGAAACTCTGATCTAGGCCTTTACATTGAGAGTCACTGATCATGTGAAGAGTTGGGTAGCCACAACCAACAACCTCACAAGCTTGCTCAGGGGCATTTCTGCCTTTATTTGTGCTGACAAAGTGCAGGATCTGAACCAAAGGAGGACAAGTTTCAGAGTACCTTCTGCAGAAAGAAGGGTGTAATTCAGAATAAATCTGGTTCAATGCAAGAGCCTGGGAATGACAGTTCCAGAGCCCTAATTGGGTTGTTGAAATGAAGAAATCTTGGGATAATCACAGTGAGATTTTCTGGGGAATGAGGGGGAGCCCCACTGAATCCCGGGTTCAAAGCCGATTCCTGCTCAAATGGCTGACCTCTGGGACAGAAGGAAGAATTTTCCAGCTGGGGGGGGGGACAAGGAGGAAGATCCGGAGGCTATGTGGCTTTATTGCTGCTTCCTTCACTCCCCCATTTGACTTCCCATATCTCCCAGACAAGTGGTTTTGGGTTTCCTCTAAGGGTCCCATGACCGCTGGTCTCACCCAGGTTCCCCCTTTCCCTCCCCCATTTTATAACCCCCCCAAATCTGCACCTATCAACAATCCATGTTGGCCCTCAGTGAAGTGAGAATGGCTTGCTTTCTGTTGGGGGGCAGGTATTATTTATTTATTTATTTATGAGACTTATATACCGCTTTAAGTGCAAGCACTCTCTAAGCGGTGTACACCAGTAAACTGTGTGTGTGTGTGTGTGTGTGTGTGTGTGTGTATACACACACACACACACACATACACATATGTGTGTATATATATATATATATACACACACACACACACATACACATTGTATATATATATATATATTTTACATTGCCCCCAACAATCTGGGTCCTCATTTTACCTACCCCGGAAGGATGGAAGGCTGAGTCAACCTTGAGCCGGTGAGATTTGAACCGCTGACCTGCTGAACACAATCAGCTAAAGTGGCCTGCAGTACTGCACGCTAACTGCTGCGCCATCTCGGCTCAGGTGGCGGTTTATTTGTGTAGGGTTTCCTGCTGCTTTTGAACTTCTGAGGATAGAGCCACTCTTCTTCCTGTGGGGCCAGTGCAGCCTCCATGGGGTAGAAACTGAGCATGGCAGAAGTGGGGGTTGATGGAGGCCTTGCTGAAAAGGGGGGAGGCACAATAGGAGGGGAGCACATGCAGTTTGGGGATCCCCCTCTCTCTCTCTGGCCCTGCTTTCCCTTCCCTTCCTCTTTCTCCTCCAACCTCTGTGCCCTCCAGCCCTTCAGGTCCTGCAGAAGATGCTCTCGGTGGCTCCCTTTTTCTACCTTTTGCTTGTTTTCTCTCTCTCTCTCTTCCGTCATTTTCCCCTTAATTTCCTCCGTCCACCTCTGCCCTGCCCAGGTCTTCTTTTCTCTTCTTCCCAGACCTGAAAATAGGACCTGCTGTGACCTATAGCATCAAGGTCCCCCAGCAGAAACCTCCTAACTCTGCCCCTCTGGGTCCCTTCCAGGTGCCTCCTCGCACTCCCTGAAGTATTTCCATTCCTCCATCTCGGAGCCCAGTCAGGGGCTGCCCCATTTTGTCTCTCTGGGGTACGTGGATGATCAACTCTTCAATTACTACGACAGCAGCAACCGGAAGTTCCAGCCTCGAGTCCCCTGGATAGAGAAGGTGAGGAAGGAGGACCCCACGTACTGGGAGAGAGGCACCCAGACATGTCGTGGCGAAGAGGAGTCATTCATAGATCACCTGGAGATTCTGAGGACTCTCTACAATCATAGCGGTGAGTGATGGGTCAGGTGGCTCCTCCTGCCTCCCCAGGAACCAGATGGGGGAGAAAGGGGGTCCTTTCAAAGAAAAAGGTTACTTCCACACATTTTTAAAAAGTCTTTTTTAAAATATGTTTATTCCTTTTTTTAAAATCATCATAAACGTGTCTCCGTAGCCCAGTGGTTCTCAACCTGTGGGTCGGGACCCCATTTGGGGTCGAACGACCATTTCACGGGGGTCGCCAAACAACGCAGTCCGCCATTTTTTTCCCCCTTTTCCTTAACTGTGCTACTCCCTTTTATTCTATTGGCTTTTGAAAGCCAATAGAATAGATTCTCTTGAATAGAGTCTAATTCTATTGGCTTTCAAAAACCAATAGGAATTGTCCAGGCTGTCTCTGCCCTGCTGAGCCCGCCAAAAGTCCCATTCTGCAAACGGTGCTGCACCAGCTGAGTAGTCCTCGACTTACAACCGGTTGAGTAGTCCTCGACTTACGACTGGTTGGGAGTCGCGGCATTAAAAAGGTTGAGAACCACTGCCGTAGCCGATGTTTTCTGCCGACTGCAATTAATCAAAACATATTTAAAGTTACCCATCTATCTGTCTGGCTATTGATAGGATGTGGATATAAAGTGAGGTAGAAAGAGACTGAAATCTCTCACCCTCCATGAAAGATGGAAGGTTCTGGCCTTGGTGGACCAACATATTTAAAGTTCTCCCACTCTCTCTCTCTCTCTGTATATTGATAGGATGTGGGTATGGATATAAACGGAGATAAAGAGAGACCAAAATCTCCCCTTTCCCATGAAAGTCGGAGGGTCCTGGCCTTGGTGGATCCCCTGCTGTGGGGGAGGAAGGGAATCACAGGTCTCTCCCCTCCCGGAAAAGAAGCAGGTGGATCCTAAGGAGATCCTGGTGAAAGCAGGTCCTCGTCCTTCTTTCTGTTTCCATTCTACAGAAATGAGGAATCAAGCGCAGATCCACCTGAGGAGACTAGAACCCTTTCCTTCACCCCCTTTTAGGAGGGATGAGTGGGGCCCAAAATGCCAGGAGCTTCTTCTCATCCTCCAATTGAAAGGAGAGGCCAGGAGGCCAAATGGGGCGGGGGCTCTTGGAGGGAGGCACAGGGTCACTTCCAGGATCCTCCCAATCTTGTGGGGGGAGGACGGAAAAGAAAGAAAACCCCATTTGGGGACCTTCCTGAGTAGCTCAGAGCTGTCATGGAATCCCTGAGGCCAGATCCCTCCCCAGATCCCTCCAGGCCCCCTGCTGGCCTCTCAGGGGAGCAGAGCTGGACCCAGAGGGCTCCCCCTGGTGGAGAAAGGGGGAAGGAGAGCGGCCAGAGTGGAGGGGAACCTCCTTTCCAGGCCAAACAGCCCCAAATGTCCCAACCTTTCCTCCAAGGGAGGCTGCTTCCACCCCCCCATCCTCTGGGTCGCCCCCTCTGGACCTTCCCCAGCTCCCTCCTGTCTTTTTTGAGGTCTGGGGACCAGAACTGCCCACAATATTCCAGATGTGGTCCCACCCTTGATTTACGCCAGTGCTTCTCAAATAGTGGGGTGGGCCCCCTGGGGGGGCGCGAGGCTCCGTAAAGGGGGGCTCGTTTGACCTCGGCAAATACTGTCATATTGGACGCACGTGACACACGCAAAGGACCCGATTGGATAGACAGTCGTGCGGGGGGGGGGCGCGAAATGTTTTCTTCTTCCTAGGGGGGCATGACAGAAAATAATTGAGAAGCACTGATTTACGCAAAGGCTTTGTGACATTAGCCTCTGTTTTCAACACCATTTTAACGATCCACGACATCCTGTTGGCCTTTTTAATTTTTTTACATATAATTTTACTAAAACTCTTTAACAAGAAGATAAAAATGAATAGAACGTGATATAAAATAAAGGGGACAAAAGAAAGAAATGAAAGAAAAAAGAAAAAAACTACAAGTTGAAGAAAATAAAGAAAGAAAAAGACAGAAAGCCTTCTGATATTCTTCACAGCTGTTACAAATATAAATATATTTTAACTTCTCTAAAGCAGCCATTCTCAACTTTTTGACACAGGAGGAACCCTTGAAATATTTTTCAGGCCTTGGGGGAATCCCTGCACATCCAGGCTCAGAGCTGCATTAACAGCGTTCTTACACTGATAATAAAAAGTGAAACTTGCCTTTTCAATGTGATCCCTGCACAAAACATTCAGTTCTATGCCAAAGGTGAGATGAGAACACCCAGATTTCATCTACAACTGAAATAAGACGAGCTTATTTCTTAGCTTTTGATGCTTCCGAAATAAGACAGAGCTGGTTCTCAGAAGTTGAAAACTGCAGCCAGATTTTCAGTGCCTTCCTGTGAATGGCAGGAATCCAGAATCTTTTTTTTTTCCCTGAGCAGATCAGGGAATCTCCTCTGGAGGGCAGGATCAGACTCAGCTCAGGAGGATCTTCCTCTCCCTCCAAAGGGAAGGTCTCAGGCTGAGCAGAAGCTGCAGAGAAAGGATCCCCTCACCAGGTCACTCATGG